AAGCACTTATTACCATGTGAGACTGTCCTTATTTATACTCTATTGTCTGTTCCTCCCAACAAGAATAAAGATTCCCTTAGAGAAGGGACATTGGCTTCCTCACTACAGTATCCTCTGCATGTAATAGTCGATCAATAAATATTTGTTGAATTACTTAAACATAAACAGAAATGAAAATCATCTCCCCTTGGATTTAAGAAGGAAGAAGTTCCTAATGACTCAAGAGAGCATCTAGATTCTAGAGGAATCTATGGGACTTTCACTGGGAATACAGATGCCAGATTAATAAACTTACTAAAACTGTTCTTCTTATAATAGAACAGATTCAAAACATATGTATGAAATAGAATAACAATAAAATGAAGATACTATGTACCCTGCTTAAGAAATATACTCAAAGGCTGATGCAGTGACTCACACTTATAATCCCAGCACTTTGGGGGGCCAAGGTGAGAGGATTGCCTGAGCCCACAGGTTTGAGACCAGCCTGAGCAAATTGGCGAGACCTCATCTCTTCGATAGATCAAAAAAATTAGCCGTGCATGGTGGTGTATGCCTGTGGTTCCAGCTACTTGGAAGGCTGAGTGATACGGCTTACATGGGGAAAGGGAGGCAGTTGTTAAAATAACTGGGAACCTTGCAAATGGGATGTAGGGCTGTGATGACCTGTGAAGCTGACCACTCTACCTTAACAGCATCCTGTCACTAACTGCTTTTACTGCCTACATCTGCTTTCTCAAGACTGCATCCTAAGGCTGGGTGATAAACAATAAAAGGCATCTTGTTACTGTTTTATGGCCCACATCTGTTTTCTCAAGAACTGCATCTCAAGGCCATATAACCATCACCCCCAACTACTTCTTGAGGCATCATGACCACCAGACCCCGGGTGGGGGTATAAAAGGGACCCACAAAACAAAGGGTGCTGGTTTCTCTTTGAAGCCAGTCTCCTCTTGTCTCCCCTTTAATAAATGTATTTTTCTTTGCCTAACCACTCAGCTTGTTGTCTCTTTCTCCACATCTGCCTTACACTAAAGTGGAAGGATTGCCTGAGCCCAGCAGGTCGAGGCTGCAGTGACTGAGTGTGCCACAGCACTCCAGCCTGGGTGACAAAGTGAGACTCCGACTAAAAAAAAAAAAAAAGAAAGAAATATACTCAGATAATCTTTGCTAATGGAGGTTCGTTGCAGAGGTTCAAGGGCACACGAGATAACATTAAACATCGTTTTCTCACTATCCATATCATTACTGGGAGTCCCCAGAGGTTGGGATGTCAAGAGGCCTCCAATAGCTTAACATTTTGTGGGATACAACCTGACCTAAAATTATCTGCTCTCTTAGCTTTTGCTGTTATATCCTCATACCAGGAGTGTGATAAAGGCAGAAGTCACCACTGCTGCAATTCCTAAGACACAGGTTTGGAAACTCAAGAGAACAGGTTCAGACCCTGTGTGGGCTCTTGGGAGATATTTGACTCCTCAGGTTGGAGACGGCTCAGATAGGCTCAACTTTTGAAGCAGTTAATAGAGTTTGGTCAGGGTCACTGTTTGGTGTTTGGTTGTGATTTTAAATCATCTTTCACAATTATATTAATTCCTTTGTCCTTCAAGAGGGACTGCAGGTGCTTGTGCTTCAGGCTCTGAAGCGAATACTGTAGATGGACTGGAGTGCAGAGAGCTAGCTGGCTTATGCAGCTTCTCCAAGTATCTTCCAGGCTATGGCTAAAGCAGCCACAGCTGTTCTGAGGCTGCTGATTTGCCCTAGTTCAGTCCTCTGCCTGCTGACTAAAACAGCCTTCCAAATGGCAAAGATAGGGGAACACTGTAGGTCACAAATCCCTTCCCTCTAGGGAGAGCTGGACTTTGTCTTCAAGGAACTTTCCCTCCTACGCAGGAAATCGCACTGAACTTAAGCCCCCCAGGGGCTTGCTCAGAGGCCTAGCTTCCCAGAAATGGAGGCTCTGGTGCTCTGTCAGGATACCCTGCATTGCCACTGATATGGGCTACAGCCAGTAGGAATGTTCCTACAAGTCAGAGTCAACTTGTACTGGCAGTAGCTCCCTTCAGGGGCCTGCCTTGCAGCTTTGTACTCTCTTATCTCCTCCAACATCTAGGGATCCACTTTGGCCACAAAGGCAGCTTGTTAGTATAGGGGAACTAACTTCCCTGGAGGCAAACTTCAACCAGTTCTCTCAGACAGATAATGCTGGGACATTCTGCATGCTTATTGGAGGCTGCCACAGAATTGAGCCTACTGCCTACAGGAGTGACCTCAGTAACACCCTTTTAGTGGCTTTTCCTCCTTCCCTGGCTCACTCTCCCCACTACCTTATTCCTGCTTCCTGAGATCATCTCCCAAATAGACTACCTGCCCTCGCAGCCTTGTTGCATGCCCTGCTTTACGGGCATCCCAAGTGGAAATATTAGCCCCTGCTCACTTTCCAGCTGGAGCTAGTCTGATGGGTCCACCCAAGTGCCTATGTGTGCCAGGCCCTGGGTAAACAAGTCAAGCTGCCTAGCAAAGGGGAGACAGCTGCCATGCCACTCCAACTGATGGTTACAGTGTAGCTCTGAAAGCCCAGTAGTGCTAGAAATCCAGGCTTTAATGGGAAATCCTCTTATTTTTAAATGTTAGCAACGAATTCAAAACTAAAAACATTGCACAGCCCCAACACATCTGCTGACCAGATTGGACCCATGAGTAGCCCACTTGTGCCAGCTGGTATAGAGCATGGTGCCAACCCCATGAACAGTGGAGGAAGACTACAAAGGGGCTAAAGCCATAAGGATGGCAGATTGGGTGAGGGAGCAAAGGAGCAGGCTCTCTCTCAGATTTGAGAAGGCATAGAAAGGGATAGAGCCCTTAGAAAACACATCCAGAGCTAATACACATTGAGTGTTTACCATGTGCCCAGCTCAAAGCACATCTTCTCAATCTCACAACCTCAGGGGCAGATACTATCTTTATTATCCCCATTTTATTTATTTTTATTTTGACATTTTTGAGTTGGAGTCTCACTCTGTCGCCCAGGCTAAAGTGCAGCGGCACGCTGCTCATGGCCACACAACCTCGACCTGCTGGGTATCCTTCCTCTTCAGACTTCCAAGCAGCTGGAACTGCAGGTGCACGCCACCACACCCGGCTAATTTTTTGGCTTATTTTAGAGATGAGGTCTCGCCAAGTTACCTGGGCTAGTCTCGAACCCATGGACTCAGGCAATCTTCTCGTCTCAACCTCCCAAAGTGTTGGGATTACAGACATGAGCCACCATGCCCAGCCTTACATTATTTTAGAAACAGGGTCTCACTCTGTCACCCGGGCTGGAGTGCAGTGGAATGATCATAGCTCACTGTAACCGAAAACTCCTGGGCTCAAGCAATCTTCCTGCCTCAGCCTCCTGAGTTACTGGGACTACAGGAATGCACCACCATAGCTAATTATTTTTTGCAGAGAGGATCTTGCTATGTTGTCCAGGTAAGTCTCAAACTCCTGGCCTCAAGCAATCCTCCCAACTTGGCCTCCCAGAGTGCTGGGATTATAGGTGTGAGCCACCACATCCAGGCTATCCCCATTTTAGAGGTGAGGAAGCAGAGCTCTCAGAGGCTAAGGGCTACAGCTTGGATTCAAAATGGGTTCTCTTCACTATGTACATATTATAGTCACCCTGGGTTGCAATCTTTAACTTCAAAAGGAGCAGCTTCTAATTTTGGGTTTGCTTACAAGAATCTCTGTCTCATCTTAGAGATAAATCCCAGAGTGAAAAATATTTATAGAACACAGCAATAAAAACAAATGATCAAATTAGAAAATCATCATTATACAATCCTTAATGAAATATAAGATCAAATTTGGGTAGATCATAATTTAAGTGAAAGGCTGTTGGGAACTTGAAAATAAATAAAATCGGGCCAGGCACTACGACTCATGCCTATAATCCCAGCACTCTGGGAGATCAAAGTGGGAGGATTGCTTGAGACCAAAAGTCTGAGACCAGCCTAGGTAACATAAACATCATCTTTACAAAAAAAAAAATAGCCAGGCATGCCTGTAGTCCCAGCTGCTCAGGAGGTGAGGCAGGAGGATAGCTTGAGTCATGATTGTGCCACTGCATTCCAGCCTGAGTGACAAAGTGAGACCCTGTCTTAAATAAATAAATAAATAAATAAATAAATAAAATCAGGTCACTTCTTGATGTGTTACAAAAGCAAGTACTTATCAACACCTAAGACAGTACTCTTGCTAAAAATATTAGAACCTGAGTCTGAATGAGTCTCTAGATGCACCAGTTTACGAGAAAAGTGGGTGATAATGGGACTTATTTATTTATTTATTTATTTATTTTTGAGTTGGAGTCTCTGTCACCCAGACTGGAGTGCAGTGGTCGCTCCCGGCCACCGCAGCCTCAACCTGCTGGGCTCCAGCGATCCTTCCGCCTCAGCCTTCCAAGTAGCTGGAACTACAGGCGCATGCTACCATGCCCGGCTAATTTTTGATTTATTGTAGAGATGAGGTCTCACCAAGTTGCCCAAGCGGATCTCAAACCTGCGGGCTCAGGCAATCCACTCACCTCAGTCTCCCAAAGGCACAGGATTACAGGCTGAGCTACTGAGCCCAGCTGATAATGGGACATATTTAATCAACTGGATGAATTCAGAACATGAGAAATTCTAGGGCAAATGACCTAGTTCTTTCAATAAAAAAACAAAGAAAGAAGAGGGGGAACTATTAAGTATTTCTAAAGTAACTTAAAGGGACATCAACAAAATACGATGCTTGAGTCTTCTTTGCATCTCAATTCAAATAAATCAACAAGACTTTTTGTGATCACTGAAGAAAACTGAACATCATCTATTATCATATATTACATAAAAATTTAAAATCACTATTAATTTTGATTTTAGTGATAACACTATTGTTTTATATACCTTACAGTTACATCCTTATAGTTTTTCTGGAAAACCAAATGGAACACTTAATAAAGAAAACTTTTATACTTCTGATCAGGCTTTTGTGGAAAAGTTAAGTTTTATTTTCAAAGCAACCTGAAAAGAGCAGTCGGGGGACCACATTTACACACTGATAGGAGGGGGAACACAGTTACATGTCCATTTAGCAAGGTCTCAGTTGGGAGTCTCATCAATTCTTGCCCAATGTCTACTCAATTTCCTCTTCAGGCTGAAATGAAAAACAGGCTCGAAGATGCCAGTGATGACTTTGCTATCCAAACATGCTCCCATTTCAGGTAAGAGGACATTTGGGTTTAACTTACTGAGCGATCTACTTAATTATTAAAATAAATATTTACACTGAAAATACAGTTAAGTTATAGCTTTCTTCACATTTTCACATTTTTAAAAGAGCCACAGAGGTTTCATCATGTTTTAAGCAGCTGAGTTGGTAAAGATTCTGTCTCCGTTTTGTAAAAGATGGATTGCATTCAATTACTTCTCACAACAGCCAACTGGAAGATTATTATTCTATTGCTTTTAAAGTACTGGTTGGGCTGGCATCTGCGATGGTAGCCAAGTAAATGAGATTTCTATGTAACACATGCTGGTATCTGTGGGTAAGAAACAGGCAAAAATTAGAGGCTCGTTTTTACTGACCATGAACAAAAGTCTGGAAAAGAATTTACCCATTCTAGTGGAATGGCTCATCCACTGATTGGATAATTCAGTGTTACCAATTTTCTTATTTAATGTAGTCAAGAAAAATATATTCAGAATCTCGTCAATCACTTCCACAGCTACCTCTCTAGGCCAAGATACTATCATTTCTTGCTTGGAAATCTCCTAACTAGTCTCCCTGATCTGCCTTTGTATACCTACTGTATTCTCCACACAGTAGCCTGAGTTATCATTGTAGAATTTAAGTCAAGATCACATCATATCTCTGTTTAAAACTTTCCAAAGGCTCCTGTCTCATTCAGAGTTAAAGTTGAGCTCTTCTTGTGCCTTACAAGGCCCTACGGAACTGTGGCCTCCAATTCCCCTATGATTTCATCTCCTATAGTTTTCCCTTGGTTCACTGAGTTCCGGCCACAGTAGCCTCCTTGCTGTGACTTGAAGATATCCACCACACTCCTGCCAAGGGGTTTTCCACCTGATGTTCCCTCTGCCTTACTCATCTCACTGCGCATAGCTGGCTCCCTCACCTCAGGTCTCCACTCAAATGTCACCTTATCAGAGAAACCTTGTATAAAGTAGCACCCTTCCTCCAACTTTACTTTATTCTTATTCAAAGCATTTATTATTATGTGCCAAATTAGGTTTTTCTTCTCCTTAGATTCTAGAGCCTAGAATGTCAGCTCCATGAGCACAGAGCTGGTATCGGTTTTGCTAACGATTCCCCAAAGCTTGAAACAGTGCCTGGTAGTTTTTTTTTTTTTTTAGTTGGAGTCTCATTCTGTTGCCCAGGCTGGAGTGCAGTGGCATGCCCACCGCCACCGCAGCTTTGACCAGCTGCTAGGCTCAGGCGATCCTTCTGCCTCAGCCTTCCAATTAGCTGGAACTACAGGCACGTGCTAATACACCTGGCTTATTTTTTGATTTACTGTAGAGATGAAGTCTCACCAAGTTGCCCAGGATGTTCTCAAACCCGAGCTCAGGCAATCCTCTCGCCTCGGCCATACAAAGTGCTGGGATTACAGGCTTGAGCCACCACGCCCGGCCTGCCTGGTACTATTAATAGTAGTACAGCCATTCTCTTGGTATCCACAAAGGACTGGCTCCAGACCCCACACCACCCCCACCATAGATACCAAACTCCAAGGATGCTCAAGCCCCTCATATAAAATGGCATTATATTTGCATATAACCCACACACATTCTCCTGCATATTTTAAATAATCTCCAGATTACTTATAATACCTAATACAATGTAAATGCTGTATAAATAATTGTTACACTGTATTGCTTTTTATTTGTATTTTTTAATTATTGTATTTTTTTTTTCTCCAAATATTTTTGATCCATGGATGCAAAACTCACAGATACAGAGGGCCACTGTACTTATAGGATATCTGTTCAACAAACTTCAGGAAGGGACAAGACACTTTCATGATCAATATGAGCTTACTACAGCAACAACTCCCAATCTGGGGTGAAGCTCCCCTTCAAGGAAGACAAATCGGAGTAGGAGTCAGAAAGCATGTCCTGTGCAATATGACAAAGCTCACTAGGAGATTTTGATAACTTTCTTACCCTTGGGTTGAGAACCACTGTACTAAACAAATGTTTTGCAATCATTTTCCATATAGAAAAACAAGAAAGTGTTTGCTATAAACTGCAAAAAAGCAAATTACCAAATGCCATAGTCAAACATAAAGACTTACTAAAAAATGAATATCTCTACTCTCCTATTGAAGTAGTTGGTGAGGGACTGTAGGTGATTTTTCTAGAGGGTAGGGATTCTTAAACATTTAAAAAACAGGCATAATTCCTGGACTAGATTTGGAAAAAGAATCCAAACTCTATTTTCTCTCATTTGGTATCTGGTTAGAGAGCATGCTAAATTTTTATGCAGAATTTACCTTTGACATAACTTGGAGATCCTTTGCTAGTCTTTGTGTCACTAATAGACAGACTGCAAGTTAGAAATGGGAGGGAGTTTAGCAGACAAATGGTCCGATCTTCTCACTTAACAGAGAAAGGATGAGGCCAGGAGCCAGGATGAGAAAGAGGTCATGGCTCTGATCTCCTGAGCTTAGTTTTCTGTGTACTCCCATCCCTATTTCTGTTGTCATCAGCTGGCATGGCTTCACGTGAAGGAAGCCTTAACTTGAGAATAATTCAAGTTTTGAAGAGGGACCTACGTCTGATTCTAGACTTCACAACGTACTGGCTATACGGTCTTGGGCAGGTAAGTAATCTCTTTGAACCTTCTTTTTCTCGACAGTAAAATGAGGCTTAACTGCGATCAATCACTCAAGACTCCGAGCTGGGGACAGCTGCTGCATCATCACACTGGCTTCCCCTCCAGTCAAATATCAGGGCAGGGTGGAGGGCACTTACTGGACGCACTCGTTCGCCCGGCCCTTGTTCTGATATTCCACGATACAGCGGATCAGCTGGTCATTCTCCTCAAGGAGCTGAAAGATCAGAGAAAGGGTCAGTGCAGTGCGATGTCAGGACGGCGGGGAGGACTGCACCCCTATATTCTGGTTGTCTTGCCCCGGCGCCTGTACAGACTACGTTCACATCTCGCTCCCACACCCCGCCAGTAAAACACCCTTCGCAGATTCACTCCAGGAAGCTCCGGGCACCCCGCAGCCCCTCGGATTCTCGACTCCTTCCCGCCCGCGTAGATGCTCACCCGCTGGATAGTCTCTTGGTTGACTTCCGCCTTGCCCCTCAACCAGTCCGGAACGAAGGCCACCGACATCCCGAGAAACCTGGTTGGAAGCCCGCCTCGGGAACCGAGGACCACCAGGCGTTCAGATCCGAGCCAACCAGCAGCTTCAGACGCAACACGACCACCGCGGGTCCCACGATAGGTGGGGGGGGGAGGGGGCTACTCTCTCGACGCTGATTGGACCCTTCCGCCTACGGGGCGAGAGACTGAAGAAACGTCATTTGTGATTGGACGCGTCTTTCTCGTGCCCCGCCTCTGGAGCGCCGAGGGCCGAGGCTGTTTGCGTATCCTTTGCGCTTGCGCAATCGTGAAAAGGAAATTTGATGGCGCGGAACTGGGTTTATAGCTGACCTACCCCGCGTCAGCACCTCGAGTTTCAGGCGGTGTGTACTGACTCCAGCAGCAGCAGCAGTAGAGGCTTGCCTAGCGTCTCACCCGAATCGTGTCTGGAACCCAGATATATGGCTTCACGTCCACTGGCCTATTGACATCACTCTGGTGCCTACAGGTCTGCGTCTGGAGCAAGAACCTGAGCATTGCCTTTGGACAGGCCACATGCTATAGGAAAGGAAAACACTGGTATTAGCTTTATTCTTTGCTGATATAAATTCACCTATCTCCACATAGCTAGATTACCTTTGGGCAGCAATAATGATTATTAGACTTATAACCCTAAAGGCACCAGTATTTTCTCCATTTTACAGCTGAGGAGATAGATTGAGTAACTTGCCCAAGGTCCCATAGCAAAGCCAGTATCTGAATACAGGCAGCCTGGCTTTAGAACCCGCACTCTTAACCACGAATGCCTGTGACCATACTGCAAAAGGGGGTTTGCTGCAAGATGCAAGGAGGAAGCTGGTTATATCCTCCTAGGCCACATGGTTACTCCTGGCAACCAGGAAAACTCTCTGAAGTTGCTTTAGTCTTCTAGCCCAACTGAGGTGGATGTGGTAACAAGGTTGGTTTTCCCTGAAGCACAGAATGAGCAGCAGCTACTTCACTGAGGAGGGAGTTCTTGGGAGCCTGCAGGCCTCAAAAAGGGTCTTGCTAGGGCTTCCTTTCACTGAGTGGTAGCCCTGAGTGTTTCTGAAGTGTCCAGGCTCGTTTGCTTTGCTGGGATCGCTCTCAACAATCCCTTTATTCAACCCAGTGGAGAGGCAGCTTTCATCTCATTTCACAAAGGGTAAATCCGGTGAGAGAAATGGGGTAACATGCCTGAACTGGAGCAGGACTGAAGGATTCCTGGCTCCAAAGCTTGCACTGTTAACTCTGCATCAGGCTTCCTCCTCAGGAAAATTCCCCAGAAGTTCCACAGAAAACAAAGTGGGCAAAAAAGGACCCTGCAGGAGCAGGATGCAGTCTTGCTTAGTCCTACTCAACCTGATTCCTGTTTAGAGAGGTGAAAAAGGACAATAACATGAGATGGTGTTGAGATGAGGCAGGTGCAGAGGACCAACCTGGTCCAGCATACAGGGACTACTGTCTAGGAAAAGAGGTGTCTCAGTACAAAGAAGTAGAGGTTAAATAGGTGACAGGTATCCAGATTCTGGACTCTTTTAGGAGCAATAGGAACCATGGATGGTTTTAAGCAGAATGATGAAGTCCAACTCCTGGCTATAATATGGTGAAAGGTAGCCCAGGCAGCCAGATGAGAAGCAAAAAGAACAATAAGAAAGCTACTACAGGTATGCAGAACAGAGATAGTGGGAACAGTGAAAAAAGAAGTATATGCATTTGAAAGACAGGAATATATCTGACAGGCCTTAGTGATTCGGTCCAAGAAAGGAGAAATTAGGGGTGACTCATGGGTTTCTGGCTTGGGCAACTGAGAGACTAGCAATGCTACTGATGGAGGTAGGGAACAGTGAGGGAGATGCTGGGCTGAAAGTGAGGATGAAAATTTACTTGTGGAAATGTACAGTTTAAGGTGATATCAAACGGAGATTTTGAAGTTCATGGCTAACTATCTGGGTCTGAAACTCAGGGACAAGGTCTGTGCCGGAGATACAGCTTTGAGAAATATTACTTGTGGAAACTGATTGGAACCATGTAGTGGACAAGACTGCTTAAGGAGAGTGTGATGATTTCTCTCATGGCAGAGAAAAGCTGCAATGAAGACTGAAGGGAAAGAGAGACTAGAGATATAGGAAGAGGACTCTGGAGAATGAAGGTCATAGTACTTTTTTTTTTTTTTAAGAGTGATTGGAAAGAAGAGATAAGACAGCAATAATAAATAATGTTGAAAGATCAGGTACAATAAGACTGAATCTTTGATGCCCTTGATGAGGGCAGTTTCAGTGATCTGGTGAAGCAGAAATCAGAATTGCAGGGGACTGAGAATAATGGGAAAGGAGAAGCAATGGAGTGTTCACATATAGACCAGGTTTGGCTGTAAAGAGTGGGGAAAGAAGGTGGTAGCTGGAGGGAGAGTTGTCACGAGCTGAGGAACATCACTTGGGTGGTTGCTCCTTCAGTGAAGGAGGTACTTGGGAGAGCAAGAAGGGGTTGAAGAGTGGGAGATCTGAGGATCATGTAGGAGATTTGGAAGTTGATTTTGCAGAGAACTAGAGTGAGAGCTGAGTTGGCAAACCAGACTGCTAGATGCTGTTGAGGACCTAGTGTAGGTTGGCAGTGTGTGGAGTGCTGATCTATGTGGTTGTGAGATTTTGTCCAGCAGTACTCACGTCCCAGGAGCAGATTCAGAGAAGACAGAAGTTTAGATTCTTCCAGGATTATAGTGCTGCCAGGCAGGTGTGACAGAATAACTGTGCAAGGGAAAGAAAAGAAGTATATTGGGAAGAATGTGATGGAAGTGATGGAGTCTGGACTGTTAGCTGATGGGTAAGGAAGTGAAGACTAGAGGAAGGTGACAAATCGAACAAAGTAGAGGGCCAACTGAACTGGAAGTTTCTGTAGGCCAGAAAACAGTGAAAAGAATTCAGAGAATGGTGGAAGAACAGATAAGAGATCAGGTGTCTGCATTTATAACTTTAGAGATGGAGTTCTTCTGTGGTCTAGGGTGTTGCCCTGGGGATGGAGGGCTGAAGAGGCCTGCCTGGAGGAGAAAGCCTCTAAAGTTGACTGCGAGCCTGGAGCCAAAGTGACCAGTGATTGGAGACGAGAACTAGGGCATCAGGTAATTCATCTCACCTCTGCCACCTAATCCATCGTGGTCCCTGGACCACACCAACTGCGCCAGTCAGAGGATGTGAGGTCCTATTTCAAAGCACTCACATTGCAGGTTTTAAGAACCCAAGGCTCCACATTTGAAGAGGGCATCCTAACCTCTTCCCTAGAACATACACTACAGGTTTTTAAATTTCCTTTACCAATCCTGGATCTCCTGGCTTTTCTCCTCTGTACTTGTTATGATCTAGTGTCTTTATCACTTGTCACACAGGCTAGTCTTGACTCAGTGTGGGAGGGGATTACACAAGGGTGTGAATACCAGGAAGCGGTGATCACTGTAAGCCATTAGATTCTATGACAGCTCTCGTTTTCATTTTATAATTTTTTCCCCTGGTTATGTAAGCCCTGCTTCAATTTCTACCCATGTGATGATGACTTTTTTTGTACGGGGGCAAAATCTTTAAATTTAGTGGGATTCCTAGGTATAACTAATTGAGCCCTAGCATTTATAAAGTCTATGAAGTTTTGTTAATTTATACATTTTTTCAAATTTGTACACTTTAGAAAATTCTAAAGTTAATATAGAGCCTGTATTGTAGAGGTACAAAAGCAAATCAGTACTCTTTCAGTTAGTTTTTTTTTTTTTTTTTTTTTTTTTGAGTCAGAGTCTCACTCTGTCACCCAGGCTGGGGTGCAGTGGCACGCTCACGGCCACCACAGCCTCGACCTGCTGGACTCAGGCGATCCCTTCACCTTAGCCTTCCAAGTAGTTGGAACCACAGGTGCACACCACCATGCCTGGCTAATGTTTTGACTTACTGTGAAGACGAGGTCTCGCTATGTTGCTCAGGCTGGCCTTGAACTCCTGAGCTCAAGCAATCCTCTAGTCTCCACCTCCCAAAGTGCTGGAATTACGGGCATGAGCCACGGAGCCCTGCTAGTTTTTATAATACAATTTTTTTGTATATGTTTGTTATATATGCTATATATAATAACTGTTAGGGTTACACTCCCCCAGCGGGGCCTCCAGAATGTTAGGTCAGGCCCTCTGGGGGTGTGGGGTGCAATTCGATGCCACAAAGAATTGCACAAAAGCTAGATTAGAAAATATAGTTTATTTAGAAAGTAAATTATTAAGAGAGAGAGAGAAGATTCACCTCCCCAAGGCAGGGAAGGGGACCAAAGCCAGGAAATGGCCTGGCCATAGCTCAAAGAGCACATGGCCACACCATAGCTTAGCAAGGCAATGGTGGTGATGTTCTGGCAATGGCCAATGACTTTAAAAAGTCTATGTTCAGTCCAGACTTCTACACTGAACTGCAACCTCTATATACAATGGCTATGTTGACATTTGTATTAGTCAGGATTCTTCAGAGTGGAAGAACCAATATGATACGTATATCTCTAAATATAGAGATACAGGCTATCTATATATCTATGGCTATAGACCTGTATTTATAGATAGAGATATATAGGTGGGGATTTACTAGGGGAATTGGCTCAGACGATTGTGAAGGCTGAGAAGTCCCACAATAGGCAGTCTGCAAGCTGGAGAACCAGGGAAGTTGATAGTGTGGGTTAGTCCAAGTCTCCCCTGACTTAGACTTGACCTCAGAACCAGGAAGACTGATGGTGTAACACTTTAAGGCCAATGGCTGAGAACCTGGTGGATACTGGTGCAAGTTCCAAAGGCTGGAGAACCTGGAGTTCTGATGATAAGGACAGAAGAAGGGTGCCCCAGCTTCAGAGGAGAGCAACTCTTCTTTTTGTTCTATCTATTGGTTGGTACCTGCCCACATTGGGTGAGAACAGAGCTTTCTAACTCAATCTACTGATTCAAATGCCAATCTCTTCTGAAAATGCCCTCACAGACATACTCAGTAATAATGCTTTGTCACCTGAGTATCATTTAATCCAGTCAAGTTAACATCTAAAACGAACCATCACAACTTCCTAACCAGAAGTCTCAAAAGTGCCTCAAATTCAACCTAAGATGGAACTAGTGATCAATCTTATCTCTCAAAGCAGATACT